TTATATAATTCAAAGATTCTTAAGGGGAAAATCGTCGGATTAAGTAAACATCAGTGATGGCATGGAATTCAGTTTTATCAATAACCTTAAGGATTTACTTGCATATTATTGGCACTTCTAGTTAGAGGAATCATGCGATTTTTTGCCTTTGAACAGGTTTTATATTTGTTAGAAATATGCGCTCTTCCAATAACTTGTCGTGGGATGTAGAGGTTCGAATGACTAAGTTTGATAGAGAATTGAGAAAAAACTTGGGCAGTGGGCAGCAGTTATTTTCAAATCATTTAATATAGATATATTCGCCTTGACTATGGAATTTTATAGTAGTAGAAGTTTTAATTCTTGCTAGGAAATTAGTTAGTTGGTTATATCTTAAGTTGTAAAGATTGGAATTTCCGATTAATAGAGTGTAGTCCCATTTAAATGTTGAGTTTAAAATTGGAAGCAATTTGTTCCTTAGTGGCTAAATTTAAAAATGTTAATAAAAGGTATAATAGTGGGTTGTTATCTTTAAACAGGATGAAGGAAATGAGAGTTTGATTAAAGAGTACTAATAAATCAGTTAGAACAACTACGACTATCAAATGAAAAAGTAATTGAAATTAAACTTAAATGAAATACAAGTTTTATTCGATATAATTATAATATGTATTAAAACGCTTTCATATGGTTTGGCTAATTACTATAGAAGGCTAGTTATAATTATATGAAGTAAAGAAATGATTGGTATTTGATCACATTGGAATCATAATTGGAGGTTATTGTAAGTTTTGTAAAATTAATGTGAGTAGATTTGACCTGTTATATTTTGAACGGAGGATGGGATTTTAAATGGATGGGATTGCCCGGCGGAATGGGCTGTGTGCATTGATTTGAAATAAATCATATAGTAATACTTGTGATAATTTGAGCTGAGGAGATAGTCAATTTTTAGGGAAGGTGCTGCAGAACATTTCAAAGTAGAACTAGAACGTTAGTTTTAAATGAATGACATGATTAAGATAAGTTCGATTATGTGAGATAATTCTATAACCTTGCGGCTAACATTAATAATAGAGTGCTCTGATTATTTATATCCTTTAATTACCCTCATTTTGATTATTTACAGTATTTAATTTATTTATTTTTATTGATTAGTTAATACTATTTATTTATTTATTTGTCATTGATTTTGGCAATGTTTATTGTGCATTGGCATTACGATGTTTAAATTGATTAATTCGATGTCTGCAGTTTGATTGCAAGGTTTGATTAATTGTGGGTTGTGATAATGCTATGCTTTGTTTGGTGGAATTGGGATGAAGTGGACCAAACCGGTGGGTTTGTGAGGACGGTCTGTTGAAATATGGATCCGAAATATTATATGATATTTGGACCGTCGCCGGGAAAATGGAAGATTCGGCGCCCCGTGTACGCTAGAAATGAAAAATGGATTATGTGGAAACCAGGATGGCTTCTTGTTGTTGAAGCACACTGATAAATCTAGATTTGATGTAGCCCGCAGGGTGGCCTCCTGTTTGTGAGTACTTGATGATCTAGATTTGGGAATGGAGACCACCGGGTTTGCCTCCTGTTGGTGAATGGAAAAGAAACAAGAGAGAATGGAAATACAATGAAGAGGACTGGTGCAGTGAGGATTAGACCAGTTGGACCGTATGGGGGATCGGCTCCTGTGGCAACATGCGTATGAGAGGCGAGCCATGTGTGAGGACGGCTCGTTGGGTTTCAAGGTGGCCGGCCCACTGACCTAAAATTTACCAACGTGATGTGATTGTAATATGAGAGTGTTTAATGAATTGTGAAGTGCTGGTGATATGCCTTTTGTGTGACTGGCTTGTCGGTGAGCAATATAACATAGTCGGCATGACCCTAGATTAATATGTGTACAACATTTGTGTGACTGCGTTGTGTTGTGCAATAATTATTACTTCTTAGAAACTCACAATGTCCATTGTTTGATTTTTTCAGGAAGTAGGTTTTCCTTTAATCGGGATTTAGGCTATGTTATCTTCGGCGTAGGGCACAAATGAAAGAATTTTTCCTAGTAATCCATAATTATTTTGTTGATTAACCAACAGTTAGTGACTCCCGCAGTTGTAGGATTTGTATACTTTTTTAAATCATCCTTATTATTATAAGAATGAGATAATATGATGACCCATATTAATAAAATATGATGCATTGTTAATTAGGCCCGAACTGTGGAAGTGGTTGTGTAAGCTTATAAATTTTGGGCCGAGATTATAATAAAATATTGAAGGTTTATCTTTCAATATTCAATATGGCTGAATGTTGAAATGTTTCTATCGAGAATAATAGATTCTAGCGTTCCAGGCTTAAACTACGGGCCTCGGGGCCCTTAAAGCACTTACCTGGTGCCCTAGTGCCGGTTCCGGCCCCGGAACGGGTCGTGAACAGTTATATTACCAAATCATATAAAACAATTTGAAAGTAAAAAATTCTTTTTTTTAAATAATCATAAAATTAATTATATGCTCTAATAAAATTAATAAATAAGATAGCCCTATTCTAGCGTTTCAGGCTTACTACGGGCCTCGGGGGCCTTAAGCTTACCTGGGCCCTAGTGCCGGTCCGGCCCACGGAAACGGGTCGTGACAGTTATATTATCAAATCATATAACATATTGAAAGAAAATTCTTTTTTTTAAATAATCATAAAATTAATTATATGCTCTAAAATTATAAAAGATGCTCTAAAATTAAAATTAATATGTTAATTAATATATATTTCTAGTGATTAAAAGATGCTCTAAAACTAAAATTACTATGTTAATAATATATATTTCCAGTGATTAAAAGATGCTCTAAAACTATAATTAATATGTTAATTATTATAATGGCTATCGATCTATAATATATAATATCTATAATATAAATTAAAATATAATACATCAAGTCAAATCAATCCTCACTTTTAGAAAATTTTTTATTTATTATTTTATTATGTCATAAAATATTTTTTTGTATTTTGTGAATGTTGTGGGAACTTTAGTAATATAAGTTGTTAATAATATTATAATTTATAACAAAATAAATAATAAAAAATATATAAATTAAATTATATTTACTTGCAATGAGTAAAAATCAACGAATATAAACAACTTACAAATGAACTCAAGAAAATTAATATATATAAAGAAAGTGAATATTTACTTTGACGAAAGAAATAAGGTAATATGTAGAATAAATTAAAAAAAAATAGGAGTCTCAAAAAAGAAAAGTAAACATAAATAAAAGAAAGATATTATTGTTTTATTTAATTAAGAATATTTATCAGACATGATTCTCGTAATATTTTGATTTAATAAATGACTGATCATTCATAAAATGAATTTATTACCATGCTTGGGATATTTATATAATATATTTTATTCTATAAGAACAACAACAATTAGGGCAGGGTTTTAGCACATTTCTATATAGGATAAAAAACCCAAACAATAACTAGGGATTTTCTTTTATTTTTTTAAATATAACTACGGGTTTTAATACATTCTTATATAGGATTTTTAATATATTTCTATTTAGGATATTTAATTTATAATATCTTATAGTTTAAGAAGAGTTGATATATTCCTATTTAGATTATTCCTATTTCGTATATTTATGTTAATGCATGATTTCCTATATAGTATAATTTATGAGTGTATAAAAGGCTTGTAACACTCAATAATATTTTCATAACCAGAAATATTAACCTTTTTTTCTTTTCTAAAATTATCGTACTCGTATAATTTTTTAAGGTATGGCAAACCATGATCAAAATCCCAATCAACCCCCATTTTCTTTTCCTTATACTGATCAAAATCAAAATCAATTTTATAGTTTAGATCAAACGCCATTTCATAATTTTGATGCTTTTTATTTTGGTCCTTCTCATAATGCTCCTCCACAGTATGTCTCTCCACCGCATGCTCTTCATGCTACTTCTCCACAGTATGCCTCTTCTCAAGCTTCTAATGATCCTATCTATGATCCTGCCTCTTTTCAATATGTTCCTCCACCATCTGCTTCTTATGATCCTGGTTTTATGACATCTCCTCCAATGTATGGTTCTGGGTTTATGACAGCTCCTCCAATGTATGGTGTGGCTCCATCTTCTGCTTCTTATGCTCATAATTTTATGTCATCTCCTCCAATGTATGGCGAGGTGAATGCTACTCCAGTCAATGCTATTCCAATTCAAGATGCTCCTCCAACGCAAGGTGCTATGGTTTCTGCTCCTCCAGCCAGACGTAAAAATAAATTTTCATTGAAAAAAATTGTGAGAGGTGTCTATAATGGACGTGAAAACAAAATACAAGAAATTACTACATATGTACCTTATTCTGATTCAGATGATTCAGATAACTGAAAACAAGTGAACTAAATAATTTTAAAAAAATCAATTAAGTATTATTAATTAATTATTGCATTAGTTAGGGAAAAATAATTATTATTGCTATAGCAGAGACTCTTGCTGTATGAAGTGTGCTTCAATGGCTATCTTCTAATAATTTGTGCCTTGTTCTTCTTGAGACCGATTCCTTGCTGGTGGTGTTTCGGACTAAGAAAAAGTTATTTCAGATATTCAGTGATTTCAAGATCAAATGGAAATCGGTAATATTTCTTGGATTCAAAGATAAGCAAATATGACTGCTCATAGCTTAGTTGACTTTCACATTTAGGATTGAGAGTTCTATCCTCTTAAATGCTATTCTTATTTACTAAATTATCTCTTTTAATGTCAAAAAAAATAATTATTATTGTTATTATTATGTCAAAATTTCCATATGACATATATTATCATCTATTGAAATGAATAATATCTTTATCTTTTATCCTTATGTTTTTTTACCGTTTAAATTTTAAGTAATTTATTTTTAGATAAATGACTTAGATATTTGATAATTTTATTTATATTCAAATATTTTTTTTGTATCTAAAAGGAAAAAAAAACGTCATGTCGTCTATAGAAGTCCATACTCCAAACAAAACTGTGCGTCATTCTTAGGCAAACGAAAACTTGGGTCTATAAAAAACTGTGCTTCACCGCTTCACTTGTTGAAAACGAATTGAAAAGCCATTTACTCTTTTCTAACATCTTCGAAGTTTCTTCAGACTTCATCGATCTCTCTCTCTCTTTAAAACGTACTTCAATGGCGGATACCAGCGAAACCCCCGCCACAACTACCGAGCGACAAAGCAAACCTCAGGCGGCGGAGATAATAAAGTGGGGTGATGTAGAAGATGAAGAGGAAACAGCCTCCACTTCAGAGGATAAAGTTGCCTCCCAACTCGAGGATAAATTGACTATTGACGATAGCGAAAAAGTTGACAAATTTCTCGAAGAGCCACAAGATTCGAATATCCAAGCTGTACGATCTATCTTTCCCCTTCGTTCTTTATGTTTAGCAATTTTTTAGGGTTTTTAGAATTTAATAGAGCTGGACGATCCTTTTCTCTTTTAGGAACTGTTAGAGCTTTTAGAACTGTGGATATGAAAGGAAATTGATAGAAACTTTTGTTGCTGCCATGTTCTTTGCGGGATATTTTTGAGCAGCTTTAATTTGCCCAGATAATTAGATCCGATTATTGTTCCGCTAGGTTTTATCAGATGTATGGTTAATATGTGTGTTTCTATTCAAATTGTTGGAAACAAAAAATATGATTCAGTTTCTATCGTAAAGCAGAAACTTGAGTTAACCGACTCTAATCTGTTCTTAGTTGTAACCATTGGATTGTATTTTACACTTGTAATCTATATTCTACACTCTTAGTTGAGATTTTAACTTGTAATTGAAGTTGTATAAATTATGTTGTTATAGGAAGAAAATTGGTCATCTTAGTTGAGGTTGCTTGTTGATTTGGGGAGTTCAAATTGATGTAGGTTACAGCTGGAGATACTCCATATACTTCTGCGACTACATTTGAAGATTTAAACTTGACGCCAGAGCTCTTGAAGGGGTTGTATGTGGAGATGAAATTCAAGAAACCAAGCAAAATTCAAGCTATAAGTCTTCCGATGATCTTGACTCCGCCATACAAAGATTTGATTGCCCAAGCACATAATGGTTCTGGTAAGACGACTTGTTTTGTGCTTGGCATGTTGAGTCGTATTGATCCTAATGCCAGAAGACCACAAGCCCTTTGTATCTGTCCAACAAGAGAGTTGTCTATTCAGGTTAGACTCCTGCTTTTTTTCTCTCATTTGTTCTTTATTTCTTCCCCTTATTTTGTGCTTGATTTGGTAACCGTAGAAGGGGAAACATCTTGGCGGTGATAAATTTTGGTTCACTCACGTTGTGGGAAATATTTTAGCAATATATATGCATTTATAACTTTTTACAGCACAAAAAAAAGTACTAATCTGGGGTTTGATTTTGGCAAATGTTTCTTGCAGAATTTGGAAGTTCTTCGGAAGATGGGAAAGTACACTGGAATTACTTCAGAATGTGCTGTGCCAATGGACAGTGCAAATGACAGACCAAGATCAAGGCCACCTATATTTGCACAAGTAGTTATTGGAACTCCTGGAACAATAAAAAGGCTGATGTCTCAAAAGAAATTGAGCGTCACTGATATGCGAGTTCTAGTTTTTGATGAGGCTGATCACATGCTGGCCAAGGTATGCATTAATACATTGCTTGTTGGCTGTGTGTTTTGTACGATTATAAAATTATTCCACATCTTTTACCTGCTTGAAACCTTTAATTTGTTCTTCCTACTGTTTGCTTTATACTTCCTACAAGGATGTTGTATTCACAGCATGTTTTGATTGATGTTGGGTACTTGGCCGAAAAACTTTCCTAGGCATAATTTTGTTGGAAGAAATGAAAAATCTCAAACATTCTTGACATGATTCTTTCCAATTTATTATCTACAATGAAAAGAAGTTTTCCTTTTTGGGATACAACTGATAATATGTTCTTTGGCAATCGATGTTTTATTTTATTGCTTTGATATGTAACTGGAGTGGCGCTCTCTTAAATAATTGATTGCTAATAAAAACTTAAACTGTTATAGGATGGATTTCAAGATGATTCCTTGAGAATAATGAAGGACATTGAAAGAGTCAATAATCACTGCCAGGTTTGTCATGTTGCTCACATACTTTTTTTTATTGAGGTTAAGGGTATAGAAATAGGATTCAAGTAAATATTTGATTTAGAAGTTGCATAGAGCTCATTTGTTTCTACTGAGCTTCTTGAATTGAGAAAGTTTTTGCGTTTTTTTTTTTTTAATAAATGGGAAAAGGTTGCTTGTCCAAATTTAGAAAACAGTTATTTACTTATGTCTATTTCTAATTTCTCTCCAGATTCTTTTGTTTTCTGCTACATTTGATGAGACCGTCAAGAATTTTGTATCAAGGATTGTGAGGAAAGATTACAATCAACTCTTTGTGAAGAAAGAAGAGTTATCATTAGATGCAATAAAGCAGTACAAGGTGTATTGTCCTGATGAGTTAGCCAAGATTCTAGTCATAAAAGACAGAATACTTGAAGTCGGAGAAAAGTTGGGGCAGACAATTATTTTTGTAAGCTCAAAACGTAGTGCAGGCATGTTGCACAAGGCACTTGTTGAGTTAGGTTATGAAGTGACCACCATTCATGGTGCACTTACTCATGAAGATCGAGACAAGATAGTCAAAGAGTTCAAAGATGGTTTGACTCAAGTTCTGATATCAACTGACCTTCTTGCTCGAGGCTTTGATCAACAGCAGGTCCTCCTTATATCTCAATTCTTCTTATCATTGCATGGTGTATTTGCCCAAAATCTAAACTCTAATATTTGTTATTTTGCAGGTTAATTTGGTTATCAATTATGATCTTCCTGTGAAGTTCGAGAGTCCAAATGAACCTAATTATGAGGTTTACTTGCATAGGATTGGTAGAGCAGGGCGTTTTGGCCGCAAAGGTATATCTTTTTATAGAGTTCTGGTTGTGCTGGTCATTTGTGAACTTATCTGAAAGTATGGTTACATGAAGATGAAGTATTGTGTTGTTTGTCTTTTGGTTTAAACTGCAAGATGGTAATGTATTATCCTATTGTTTTGATAACGGTCGAGTAATTCAATCAACCTAGGACACAATTTTCAAGCTCATTTAAGTTATGCATTTATGTATATCTCATGATTGAGGTGTTAGTTGAACTCCATTCAGCTATGCTTCCAGTTTGAAGTTCTTGTGTTATAGTGTGATCTTAAAAAAAGAAAGGTGCTCGTTGTATTATATAATACATTGTTATTTGCAGTGAGCAGGATTATTTGTTTTCTCTCTTGGGCCTTCTTACATGTAATTATACATTAATTTTAAAACTAGTACTTATTAATTCTAAATGTTCCTTTGCCGTCCTGCAGGAGCTGTCTTCAATTTTGTGATGGATGATAGGGATAGGATGATAATGGAAAAAATTGAAACATATTTCGGGACCCAAGTCGCCGAGGTGATGAAACCTGTTCCTTGTCTCATTTAAATATATTTTCATGGAATTCAAGTTCATGCCTTTTTTTTTTGTTCTCTACTTCCTAGTACTTGGGCAGTAGTATTTCATGTACAGCTAACAGAATCTAACTGTGTCGCTGCTGCTATTGTCAATACAGGTACCATCCTGGGATAGTGAGGAGGATTTTAAGGTTGCCTTGAAAGCGGCTGGCTTGCTGTGATGTTGCAAATCACATGTGGTTTGGCTAATAGTCAAGCATGGATTTGTAGAGCGGCTTATTTAGTCTCTTTAAGAGTTGCATATTTTTGATACAAGCACGAATTTTTTGGAGTGGTCTCGAGTCTTTTGGAGTTGCAGATGATTTTATTGGTCCAAAGTTCTATAATGACGCCTGGTTTTGTATTTAAAATAGCGGAGAATTGATGAATTTTGTCTATAAAAGTATTTGCTGAACTAAAATGCCCAATGCTATATTTTTTAATTTTTTAATTTGATCTCTTTGGGAATAGCTAAGAAAATGTTTTATTTGTGTGCTATTCGTTCGATTCAACTAAATAGTATTTTTACAGCTGACAATATATTTGATCTCCTTCAAATCAAGTGCAGCACCTTAATTCCGACCTTTTTGGTTTGTCTTAATTATTTTGAGCAGGAAGTGCATTGTTATAATGCCTTGACCTGTTTTGATTCTTGGAAAAAAAAATTTTTTTGACTTGTCAATTTTATTCTTAGTGAAATTGAAAATGCACAATACACGCAGTTGGGGGAGTGTATACTTTTTTTTTTTTTTTTAATTCATAAACATAAATATATTGGATATTATTCATTTAAATTAAAATTTAAAATTATCTTTGTATTCTAAAGTCTTCTTAGAAGTCCTTTTGTACCTAAAATGGTTTAGTACTGTTTGAAAAATTTATAAGTAAAATGTGGTTCGGTTTTAAAAAATTGTCAAACCTACCTCTCTAATAATATTAGAGAAACAAAATGGATTGCACGTCTAAAGTAGTGGCTGTCCACTTATTTTGGTACATGGCCTACTATATATATATACATCTATACTCTTTCTATAAACCAGTACCAGCATTAGTATTCATTTTTTTTTTTTTTTTTTTTTTTTTTGGGACTTGCAAAGAAAGAGATGGGTGCTATGGCAATGACACTGGTGTAGCAACACTTACTTGTGTTTTTTTTTTTTTTTTTTTTTTTGTGCCTTTTGGATTGAAAGAAAGAGATGGGTGCTATGGCAATGACACTGGTTGTAGCAACACTACTTGTGTTGTTAGGCACAAATTCAGCAATGGCTTGGGATGGAGCTGGAGTGATTCATGTAAGTGGGAAAGTTATGTGTCAGGATTGCACCAAAGGCTATAATGAATGGGTTAATGGTTATAGACCCATTAAAGGTACTCCTCTCCTCCTTTCTGTCTCCTATCTATAAATTAGTTAGAAGCTCATCTCAATTCGATTCCAAAAAATTATAAACAAATTCAAATTAAAATACATATTATTTGGCTCGATTAATTGCAGGATGCAAGGTCTCCCTTACTTGTATGGATGACAGGAGAAGAGTGAGGCACTATGTTAGTGATACCACTGATGAGCAAGGCCAATTTGACATGACTGTGAGCAAATACATAAATGGAAAAAAATTAAATGAAAAATTATGCTCAGTAAGGCTTCTATCATCCCCAGATCCTACATGCAATGTTCTTACTGATTTTGCTGGTGGAAAATCAGGAATAAAGCTTAGGAGACCAACTTTCTTATATAGAGATATGGTTAAGTATATACTTAACCCATTTTATTTCACTACTCCTATGTGTGAACAACCTGATACTAGTGAATCTGATGGCTCCAATGGAAGCAATCATTATTGAGTTTCTTTTCTTTAATTGTAATATTAATACATTGCTTTTGTTTTTCATTTTGATTATGTAAGGCATCTTCCTTGATAAAAACAGAGGTTGGCCATTCTGTATTCAAATGTGATAGTATAATTTCTCCTTTCCATCTGTTTTTCATTCAGAAATACACTAACTTAATAGAGCCAGACATGAATGCTAGAGGACCAAAAAAAATTTGAAAAGTTAGGGGAGTAAAATTAAAAATAAACTGTTTTTGGGATACGATAATGAAGATTTTCAGTGAGCTAACTATAGTCGTTTTGATTCAATAGAATGCGATGATATGATCGGGTTAAAATGGATAACGGGGAGTTATCTCCTTCTATCTCTGTAGTTTCGTTTTTAGCTCTTTACAGAAATTATTGTTTCTCACACCTTTAGGGAAGCTAATTTTAGCACAACTAGCTTGCTAGTTTTGCTTCTTCATATTTAGATGTTCTTGCTTCTGATCAACCTCCCATGAGGTAATCCTGTGATTGGCTTATGATATTGCTAGCATAGCTCATTCTTGACGGTGAAGTTGTTATATTATTTTTCTTCTCATTTGCACCAAAAGAAAATTTTTAATTTGAAAATCAATCAAGTAGTCCAATTAAGTTTGGCCACCTGGCAATACCTGCAACTTGACACTTGTCCCTACCTGCAACCTCTGGAAAATTAACTGCAACAATTTTTAGTTTTTTACAAACCAAAATTAAAACTTAACTCCACCATTGTCAAAGCCTCGAAGGTCCATTGCAGAACAGTCACAGAGGCCGGAGCGCCTACTGGAGTGATCTCGGGTCAGCCATGGCAATTAGCATACGGAGAATAACATTCTATCCATTATCATCATCATCGCTAATCGATTTGGTTCGAAAATCAACGATTGACAATTCAGCGACCTTTTTCCGGCCTAGGTGGACCTCATCTTCCTCTTCTTCCTCGTCATCGAAGCCTGACAAGAAGATAACGGATCGCCTTTCCGCTGTTATAGACGCCGTCAACGACCGCAAGCTCCCTCCTCAACTTCGTGGCCAACGCAATTCTGTCAGGTCGCTATCTCGTCCATTTATATTGATATTTTTGGTTGTCTATTGAAATTTGAACCGCTGAAAATTGATATTTTGAACATTAGAGCTTTTAAGGCTAAGGACCCATAGTTGAAACTTAAGTTTCTCTTCAAGGAAAGATGAAGTTTAGAACTTCTCTTTGTTAGTGCCTTTTTGGATAGGATTCGAGGTGCTTTGAATTCTGAAATGTCAAAATTGGCATTAGCTGTAAGAAAATGTAATTGATTTCCTAAGCAAATCCTTGCTGCCAATTACAATTATGGTCTTGTTTAATAAATTTTAATGATATTTCACTACTATAAATTATTAAAGGCATAATGTTATAATGTTAAGGACAGTCCTACTTGCTTTCTTTTAGTTTGCTAATTCCTGTTCATGGAGATGAGTCAAGGGAGTTGTATGTGGTTGAATGAAATATCTGTGTGTCAACTTGAGTTTCATTTAAATTCCTGGATAGATCTTCTTGGAGATACTGAATCTGATCAAATGTTCAACTTGATGCTTCATTTAGATTTTATTTGAAGAAAGATTACAAGTGAAGTTCCTACTTGGGAGTAGTTTAATTGGCACTTGTGCTTGTCTATTTTGTTGTTCTGTATGTGACTTCATTTGGACCATTATTTGTTTAAAGTAGATAAACTCTACTTCATTCATTATAACAACAACAATAATAACTAAGCCTTGGTCCCAAACTAGTTGGAATCGGCTATATAAATCCTTTGTTCCTATATCCACTATGATCAAATAATAGTAATTAGAATTCTACTTCATTCATTGAACTTAAAATTTTGAAATAATACAAAGATGGATGGTCATATCTGCTCTTGAATTGAGACCAATTAATATTGGTCCTACTGTCTAATATATAATACAATGATCTACGGTTTTTATTTGGATAGGTCGGAAACTGATATAATAAATGTTGTTGAGCAAAGAATATGGCATTCAATGGAAGAAGGTCAGTTTGAGAACTTACCAGGGAAAGGCAAACCCCTGAATCTCAGCACCAACCCTCACGCAGATCCAGCTGAAGACACATTATATAGAATCCTCTCTAAAAATGGATGCGCACCAGAGTGGATTGAACTCAACAAGGAGATAAGGAGTAAAATATCTGAATGGCGGGTTGCATTGAAGAAAGCATGGATGAACAAATCCAGTGGTGACCACTCCAAATGGATTGAGAGCTCTGACACTTTAAAAGCTCAATTAAGGGATATAAATGATAAGGTGAGCCCTTAGAAATCTGGTCTCTTACCATTGATTTTTTTTTTTGTCTTCTTGTTGCTTAGTTTACTAATTGCTGCTTTTAATTAGTTGTCTTCGATTCATGGTCTGAACTGTTTAGGCCGAGATAACTCAAAAACTCTCTAGATGCATAATGCCTATAACTGCTGTTAAGAATCCCACGTCAACTAAATACCAAATCCACAAAAGGCATAAGGCATATAAGGGTGCTAAGTTAGCTAGCTAATTGGTTAGTACTAATCTTTTAACAATGATTGACCTAAGCCCAAGCCCAAGTAAGCTCATATCATATATTTTCATCTCATGGGTTCTAACCTCTCACCCAGTCCGTCCACCTCTACCCTTTCAACTTCTAATATGGTATTAGAGCTTTTTGCCCATGAAATTGGATGGGCCTCACTAGGGATTGGACATCTAGACGAGAGCCTGAATTGAAACGCAACAGCAACACCAGTGAACTGAGGAATAACCGGACCGGACCTGTTCTGATACCATATTAGAAGTTGAAAGGGTAGAGAAGTGGACGGTGGACTGGATGAGAGGTTAGAACCCATGAGATGAAAATATATGATATGGACTTACTTGGGCTTAGGCCAACCATTGTTAAAAGATTAGTACTAACCAATTAGCTATCTAACTTAGCACCCTTATATGCCCTTTGTGGATTTGGTATTTAGTTGATGTGGGATTCTTAACAACTGTAACTAGGTGAAGGAGTGGAGTTGATTGGATTTTCTATATAGATTATATAGAAAATTTACTCAAATAAAAAGCATGTTCATTTGTGCACGCACTGAGAAATGTTGCAAAGCATCTGTAAGGCACATCTGCCGTGTTGTTTGAGCAAATTTGCATTTTTTTTTTTTTTTTTTTTTTAGTTGATTGGATTTTCTATATAGAATTATATAGAAATTTACTCAATAAAAAGACAATGTCTCACATTTTGTGTCAACGCACTACTGAATTGAAAATGTTGCAAAGCATCTGTAAGGCACTCAATGCCAAGTGTATTGTTATGTGAAGCACAATTATGCATCTCCTATATAATCCTAATTTTTATATTTATTTATATATTATATTTTTGGTGTGTATAGCTTACACGTTATCATTATGATTATGGGTCTTTATTTTTTTTTTTTTGAATTGTTTTTTGGTAGAACACGTTAATCTTTATATTGTAAATAGCCTTTCAGTTATAAATTCATATAACTGATATCGTGCTGCTATCTTAAATAAAGATTCTACTTTAAGATCTTAGCACTTCTACTCATGAATCGAAATGAGTCCAAAAGCTAGTGAATCATAAGGTTTTCAGCGACACACGGAACCTCATTGTTCCTTTCGGCCTCGGAGGCGCAGATGTTTGTGAACTGAAAGTGGGAAAAGCGAAGCTGGTTTATCGCTTAAATGAATGACGGTTCTCTCATCTTCTCTCTATTCTCATCTCTCTTCCTCTCTCTATAACAGGTTCCCACAATATCATATATGTTAATTTTAGTTGTAATAGCATTATAGGAAGTTTTTCTCTTTTTTGTAGTTACTACTATATTCTTTTTTATTGTTGGATTCCAAACGATGTGTAAGTAGAGTTATTTTTGAACTTTGAATGTTTGTAAATTTTTCACCGGGGTATTTGCTACGTAGCGTGGTGCATTCTAAAATGCAGTTGAAGTCGTTTATTAAGACTTCAGAGAACAAAAACTATAAACCCGAAACAAAAAAAACCAACTCAGTGAAGGTACTTGAAGTTTATACAAATATTATTTGTTCGAAAAAATACAGACTACAGTCTCAAAGTCACTCTCTCATGATGAATAATTAATAACTAGAAGTGAAATTCATCTTCATTCTACAGTAATGATTTACAATGTTTAAAAAAGCGCTAGATCAAGTTCGAACATTCTTGACGATGATTTTTGCGTAGCAGCAAGAAGGATAATTGCGACTTGTAAAGTATAAGTTGTTCCGGTAGCTCTTTTATCGTACTTCTGGACAAAAAGCTGGCAAAGTTTTCTAACTGACGTCCTTTTTTTTTTTTTTTTTTTTGGTGTTTAAGCTACGAATTTGTGTTTTTTTTTTTTTTTTTTTATGTTTTTTTGGTGAACACGTTTTCTTTTGTTGTAAATAGCTTCAGTATCATATACTATATCGTGCTGCTTCTATAAGTTCTACTTTTAAGTCTTAGCCTCATGAATCGAATGTCAATGCTGTGAATCATAGGTTTTCAGACACAACCTCATTGTTCCTTTCGGCCGGCAGATGTTTGGACTGAAGTGGGAAAAGGAACTGGATCGCTTAAATGAATGACGTCTCTCTCTCTCTCTCTCTCTCTCTCTCTCTCTCCCTTACAGTTCCCCATCTCATATGTTAAATTTGTTGTAATAGCAATAGGAAGGTTTCTCTTTTTGTTAGTACTATCATTCTTTTTATTGGTTGGATTCAAACGATTATAATAATGATGAACTTTGAATGGTATACCTATTTGCTATCGTAGCTGGTGCTTCTAAAATGCAGTTGAAGTCGTTTATTAAGAACTTCAGAGAACAAAACCATAACGAAACAAAAAAACCACTCATATGATATACAAACATGCGAAAAGCTCAGTCTCATAAGAATATTAATACAGAAGTGAATATCATCTTTTCTCAGTATTTGCATTTCAAAAAACTAGTCATCCAATTGACGATGTTTTTGCTGCAAGATGGATAAGCGATCGTCTGTGATAAGTTGTCCGGAGTTTTTTGTACTTCTGGACAAAAGCTGCAAGTTCTATCTCCCTATCAAGAAGCTGTCTGTGCAGGGCTTCAGATTCCTCGTCTGTCTTATTCATTGCTTCTGCAAATGAAAAACACATCACTCATCATGTTTCAAAATATGGCTTTTCCTATGTTATTATTTATCTTAAGCTCTGAATCTTGAAGATGGATTAATTTTATATCTACCTTGAAGCTTTTGGAGAAGGGACTGAGGAGAGCAGGACCTCAGTACCTCTTCTTTTTGTTTTTCCAATTCATTTAATTTCTCCTGTGCAGCAGCTAACTCAGTTGTCCGTATTATTCTGCACTGAGGGCATAAAAAGAAACGGCAAATTTTGGTTTTAAATTCTCACACTAAATAGCAGAGCAAGATAGTCGATGAGACATGGCATTGAGACGTACCTGGTTTCTTAACTCCATTATGCGTGGCTCCTTCTCCAAGTTCTCTCCTACTCACCAGAAATAACAGTTCAGCATCTCTTTCCAATTATATCTCAATACAATTAGAACATTAAAATGGGTAATATACATTTTATGAAAAATAAGAACTTACTGGCCAGCTGTAGAGTTTCTTTGCGGAGCTCATATCTTATCTGATAAAAGAAGAGATAAAAGAGGTCATAAACTGGCAACAAGAAGTTTCATGATTAAGACCTCAGTAAATACTCTCTTTTTTTTTTTTTTAATAATTTCTTCTCTCCCCTAGCTCAAATGAAATGAAAAGGAAAATTTCAGTATTGCATCATGGATATTGAACTCCAAATTAAGAAGGAAAAATTGCAACTTACATTGTTTTGAATTTTAACCTGATCAAGTGAGTGCAAAAATTGATGGTATGCATCCTTGTCTGATAATAGCTTTCGTAGCTCATCAACGCTACAAATATTTTAAGAGAAAACAAGTCAGCAGAAAATGGATGTTAAACCCACCATCTTGTAATACAATCAGAGCCTGGATTTTGAAGCCCCCCTTTCTCACAGAAGTTACAACGAAGAACTATTCTAAATTATAGTTTCAACCTAAGACCTAATCCAATGTTAGCAAAACAACAATTTGAATCACAAAGTTAAAAATATAACAAAAGTAACAGAAGCAACATCCCACTTGACATGGTAGAAGAATTATTTAAACAACTTTGTAAAGCAAAGATAAAAAGGAAAAACTCATATTATCCAATATCTCCCTGATATTAGTAAACACATATCCAAGTTTATTAAATGAGAATACATTATCTATGAGCAGATGCGTGTGTTTCAGAACTTGAATTTCATCCTCATTCCTCCAACCATCAGAAACTCTTAATTTTATTAGATAATATTTAGTTCAATCATTTACTCAATGTCTGGCGAGCATGTTCATAATGCATTTTCATAAGTATGTTAAGATCAAGACTACAACATGGAATATAATGCACTGTCTGCACAAAATACTTCCCACTTCATGTAGATTTTCATGAATCATGTAAAATTTAACACAAACCAAATAAGAAATGAAACATTAAGTAACAAGATTGTCATCACATGAGCTGTAAGCCAATAGTCAGGATGATCAAAACTTACATGAGTTGCAAGCAAATACTACAAAGGATGAATAAACAATACACTAAAAGTAAATCTAATTTAGCAAAAGAAGTCTCTATAGCCCACAAAAAGGAAGAACTATTAAAAGAAAGAATCAACACAATAACAATATACAATCTGCATCAGGCAACTCACCTTTTATTCTTCAAAAGAGCAATAACACCAGCCGCTTCAGCAGGCGATACATGTGAAGGAGATTGTGCTTGTTGTAAGCCATAATTACTAGAAGAGCCAGTACTTGGTGTTACAGGTGGAGAGGAATTAGGCGAACTCACTACAGATGGAGGATACCAAGATTGTGTAGGAGCTTCTCCCGGACGAGGCTGAGCTTGTTCCTCTTGAGAACTCCTACAGGAAGACAGTATAAACATAAGTGCCAAAACAAACAACCCAAACAAAAGGTAAACAAAATGAAAAAGAAAGATATTTGAAGGAGTAAGAGTACAGACACACACAAACACACAAAGGGCAATCCAAGAACACCGGCGCTGGGATTACAATTCAACCACAATCCAATATGATTGTTATACATGATACAATATAATCATTTGGACAGAACAAGTTATACAAGTAAGATAGAAGAGAAGAAAACCCCCTAATACTACAAGCATGTATTACCTGGTTCAATAACCATTCAAAATAAAGCATGTAATTGGACAAATGAAATAATAGATAAATAATGTGAAGGTAAAAATTGTAAAATCCATCAGCAAAACTTGCAATACATATTAAGTGCTGGAGTAACTCCAAACCACTTAATTCAAATTTAACAGTTTTCCCATAATTAAAACCTAATAAGCCATGCATAAAAATTAAAACTTCAAATCGCAACAGAAAAACAACACCAAACATTGATCAAATTCAAACTATTCAAACTTCCCAAATTGACTGCTGCATCAATAACATCAATCAATCAAGCAATCAAAGCACAAGGCAGATAGCGAAATCAATTAATAATAAAAAAAATTGAACAAAAACGCAATCAGAAAAGAAAAGGCGAGTACCAGAATTTGAACATAGCTCGAAAAAGGAGTTTTCGATCGTTCGATCAACCTATTAAAATAGAAAATTTTGAATCCGTATAGTACCAAAAAGGAAAACGATAGGAGCTGTGTGTTATTTCTTTGTTAATCAAGTGCAGAGGAAATTGCATCTGCTTTGACGAAAGATGGTTTCTTGACAGTTTCTCTACGAGAGCACGTGCCGTCGTTTGACTGGTTAAGGAAGCGTGTGCCATTGCTTTTGGAAGGATCCAAGCAAATGAAAGATATGGGCTCCAACGCGTCAATATGTGGGCTTTTGGACTCAATGGACCATTTCTCGATAATCATAGCCCAATTTTGAGTTTTTGAGTCTACGCATTTGAACTAGACAACTGAAAGAGGTAGTTACCTGCAAGTTGCACCTTTCAAATTTCATGAAACTCAAATTCTTAAGAGGTTTTATTTGCATAAATGTGCATTTCACATAAATTTGCATTCTTAAGAGGTTAAAGTTGCTTCTGGCAACTGTTGTTTGGTTACTTGAATAAAATCAGGTAAACCAGGAATATCCAAGTATTCTGATTCAGAGCTTATGGTTTCAAGAATCTGAGAACTGTATATCTTGTGCAAGCATAACATGCTGAAGCAACCAAATCCAGTAAAAACAATTCTTGGAATACGAAGCTTACTAGCAACTCGACTCGTGTAAGGTAAACACATACAGAGATTATGCAATTAGGCTTTGGTTTCAGTTCTTGAAGCAATATTTCAACTGGTTCTTGTAGAAAGTAGGCGGCTAACAAGAAGTCAGGGGCTGCGCCTAGTGAGGGGAGCATGTAAAGATTCTCACATTCTTGGGGCAATCTTGCATTTCAGATGGAAATTGGAGTTCAATAAGCTGAGTGTGGAGGCCAGATTCAACTTCACGAGCAAGAATTGATGCGAAACGGTTCGAGTTGGTTCGAGTTAAGTGGCGTGGTGATGCCTTATTGAGCTAACAATCTTGCTATGTCAATCATTGGGATCATGTGGCCTTGAGCCATGTAAGGAAACAAGATGAAGTGAAGCTGATGGGATTTGGAAGCCATGGAAACCAATAACGAATGTATGTTTGTGTGTTAGTGTAATTTTATTTGTTTATGTACGTATATATATTTATCCATAGAATTGATTATATTTATCTAGACTAGATTTATGATCCTACATATAGACCAAACCAATGAAAATAAGAATTTTTTTATAAATTGGTTATACTTTATCCTCGTTTTAGATGTGTATGGTAAAAGATAGATTCGTTTCAACAAAAAATTTTATTATATAAATTTTACAATGCTATTTTTTCTTTTTTTTTTTTTTTGAAAATAAATTTTATAATGCTATTAAAGTAGAGAGATTTTAATGAAAAAAAGGAAAAATAATGAGGATGATGACGTGGATAAGTTTTATTTCAAAAAATAAAAGGATTAATATCATGACAATTTTAACAAGTTAAAGCAATTATTTTTACTTATTCATAAATTACATCTAGATAAAAAATAAAATAAAATAAAATAACAGTAAATTATTTATTTATTCTGCTTGAAAGAATCTCTTGCAATTGCCTTTAATTAAAAATTCTCCCTGAGAGAATTTTGTTTCGGCAACCAATACTCCTAACTATAATTTAAAAAGAAAATCTCTTGTAAAAATTTCTGCCGGCCGTCGTGATTGCTAGGAATTATTTTGGGGATTTTGTGACGCTCCCCACCATTTGAAGAGAAATACAAGGCTGTTCAACTGGAACCTGTACAGAATTTCAAGAATTAGGGCAACTTCAAGCCTACAAGGACCAAGAAAAAAGAAAAGAAAAGATGAAAAGCTGCATGGCTGCTTACAAAGTGGCCTGCCCCAAGAATCCAGTAGAAAGACAAGTTCTTGTATGAGCTTATGAACCCTTTTGTGGTTGTATTATATTTATCACCTTTGCAATATAAAGAAGTGCGATCCAGACTAGAAAAATTTTTCAAGCCATCCCATCTGAAATTTAGAATAATATATTAATTAAATTAAATTAAATAATTTTTATTTTAAATAAGGTACTTACTTTAGTTTGTTAAGCCATGCTTCTGCTCCTTTGGTTGAGCATATGAGATCAAGCTACAATATATTTATAAATACATATTAATCTCAATCATTTTTCTTCATGAATAATAATTAATTTATTAAAATAAGAACCTAATTAATTCATTGGTTCTTGAAAATCATATTTCTCACTTGCCCATTGTATATGGTCACTCTTACACCTTTGGCTAAGAGCTCATCCACCTGAAGAAAATAAATAAAAGTTTAATTTACCACTTGTTAATGTTAAATTTTTATACATCTATTTATAAAAATCCATTTTATTTTTAATTTCATTTATTGAGTTGTAATATAATAGAATTACCTCTTGAATTCTTGGCTTCATGAAGTCTCCGATTAAGCCTTGAAAAACCAGCCTGCTTTGTCCTCCCCAACTAATTTAATATTAAACAAATTGTATAAATAAATTAAATAAAATTAACTCATTTTATATATATATATATATATACATAAAATAAAATTATACTCACGTAACATTCTCTGGAATAATAATCAGCTTCTTTCTAATAGGCCCATTCATGAAATCATAAAGGCCATCACTAGCTGATGAAGGATGATACTTGGCATTTATATAGTTTGAATATCTATCACTGAGAATCCATTTTTTAGTCTCTGTGGTGATCCCTACCACTGGATCATTACCGTAATCAAGCAGGAAATTATAGAAGTCCTGCAATTAATAAAACATTTTTTTATATTTGATATGTGTCAGAAATTATGTATTTCAAGACAGATAATTAATTACGAGACCGATACATAATTACAGATATTAAGACGTACTAAAAAACCATACCACGTTGTTGCTGTAGGCAAGAATAACATTTGCTAGTTCATTCCAAGTAAATGTAGCATTCTCGTATTCGCCTTTCGCTAAGTGCTGCTGAATTTTCCGAGCTAAACTATTTTTGCAAATTGGTTGTTGTTAAATTAATTACTAAAAATTTTTCATTTACGTAATATGAAATGATCAAATTAAGGCAATAGCTTCATATAAGACCTGTTTGAGATGCTTAATCCATTATTGCTCATTCTTGATAGGTCTTTGAGTAGAGGTCCCCAAGAAAACTGCATTTCACAATTCATAGGTCTAAAATCATTCCTTAAAAAAAAAAAAAAAAAAAAAAAAAAAAAAAAAATAACTGCAATTTCGTATATATATATAGTTACATAGTTATATATAATTAGAGTAAAATAAATTATCACTCCACGCTTACATTCTCTGGAATCAATAATCCTTCTGCTGTCTTATTCTAGAACTTACGGCCCATTCATTGAAAATCATACAAGCCATCATAAGCTTGATGAAGGATGATGATTGGCATTAATATAGTGATGATATACTCTATTCACTACGTGCACGGAGAGTGTCTGGCCATATTTGGTTAGTCTCCTGTGGGTGAGTTCCCCATCACCCACTGATTCATTACTCGTAATCAAAGAGGAAATTATAGGGAGTCCTGCAATTTATAAAACATTTTTTAGTGAGTGTGTGATATTGTGTCAGTTAAATTAGATAATTTCAAGATCAGATAATATAATTTAAAGAGACAGATACATAAATTACAAGATAATTAAGACGTACTAAAAAACCCATACATTCGTTATATGTTGAGCTATGTAGGCAAGAATAACATTTATGTCTTTAGTTCATTCCAAGTATAAGGTGATACGCTATATCTGCTCATTAGTGCACTATTACGCTAAGTGCTAGACTATAGAATATTTCCGAGAGAGCTAGTGAACGTATTTTAGCGAAGTATGGGTTGTGTATAGTATAAAGGATGGTATAATGAGTATATCTCAAAATTATTTCATTTATCGGTGAATAATGAAATTGATTATATTATTTAAGCAATTAGATTCATATAGAGACCTTTGTTTTGAAGATGCTTTAATTCCCTATTATATTGCTCATATTTCTCTTGATAAGGTCTTGAGTAAGAGGTCCCCAAGAAAACTGGCATTTACTAATTCATCAGGTCTAAAAAATCACATTACCACTTAAAAAAAAAGAAAAAAACAGAGCCCAGCTTTTGAATTTGTAGAATTGACACTGAGGCACCAAGATCCTCACGCAGAGCAGAAACATAGCAACTCATTCTCTAAAGCAGCTCACACTGAACTTCATATAATTCACAAAAAAAAAAAAAAAAAAAAAAAAAAAAAATCAGCTTTTGAATTGTAGAATTCACATACCACAAAATCCTCAGGAGAAATCCAACTATCTCCTAAAGCAACTCCTGAAACATATAATTCACAACTATTAAATGAATATTATTAATTAATTTAATCAATTATAATAGTAGGAGCTATTTCTGTCGGCTCAGCAGTTTATTGAACCTTCAATTTATTCATTCAGATAATACAATTGAACCACAAATTGTTTATCTGAATTTATAAAAAGAAAAAAAAAACGTTGGCTTATCGGAAAATTTTCTTTCTAAAATTGATTTAATAAGTCATGTAACTTATCGGATTAAAATTTAATACTACTTTACAATTATAAAATGAGACCATATATCACTTTTTAATCACTCAGTTATTAATTATTGATACCACTTTTTAATTATTCGGCTCAGTAAAATAACGCATTTGGTATTTAGAATTTAGTCTAAACAAACGACACTCGTGGGCTTCTAACTTAATTCTTGAAATCCACAAAGAAAGTTAATAATTTTTACCTCCTAATTGAAGCTCTAGTTCCCCTGCTTCAATGGCTTTAAGAGCAGAAACTCCGAGAGTTATAGCAAATTTCCCTCCATAGGACTCTGCAAATATGTACAAAGGACCTTCTGGGAGAGTCTTATTTCCATTGAATAGCTCTTTCAATAAGGTAGTTAAATCAGTTGCTGCCTCTTCATCGGCCTTTACTACCAAGGCATTATCTTCTACATAACTAAATCCTGTTCCTACTGGACTGTCCTAAAATTCCATGAAAAAATTGTAAAAATAAAAAACTCATAATAAAAATAACGTAATTAAAAAAATTACTAAAATTTACCACAAATAAGAGATCTGCTTTGTGGAGCCAAGTAGAATTTCTGGGTTTCAAATTGCTGTCTAGTGGTCCTATTTCTAGAAAATTTCCAAATGCTGTACCAGAGCCTCCCTAAATTTAATTAAATAACATTTTAGTACCTAAAACAGAAAGAAAAATATTTATTCAAATGACAAAGATAATAATTTAATTTCTCAGTACTCACTGGACCTCCTTGGAGCCATAGAATTATTGGCCATGGTATTGATGGATCATTAACTCTATAAGGGCTTTTATAGAACCACCAAAATAGGTGTGCCTCTACATTGCAAAAAAAACAAATTTCAACTGTTAAATCATCAAAACACAAAAAGAAATATGAGACGACCGATTGTACAACGTCTGATTAACACTTGACCTATGATTTTCAATTTATAATAAAATTTTCTCATAAACAGATGTTTTATTGTTGAATTAATAGTTGACCGGTGGCTGAAATTAGAAATACAAATTGTAAGAATTTTGAATAAATATATATAAACATACTGGGTCGAACTTCGACATAGCCCCATTGTTCAGAGCCATCGAAGGTTACTGCACGAGAGGCCAAACATCCATGAAGCAAAGTAAAAGAGAAAACAAAGGAGAGGAAAAGAAGAGAATGGCTCTCCATAGCTCAAGTAATTAATATTTGGTGGAGATTTATATATATAAGAGAGAGAGAGAGAGAGAGAGTCATGACATAAGAATAACATAAGAACCTTCGCCTTCCTCCCTTTGACTTATACTTGTTTCTTTAAACAAGAAAACAAACATACATGCATTTTCCAATTTCAAGGAAGCAAGTTCTGTGCAAACAAAACCCATAGTGATAGTAATAGAATAAACAAATAAAGGGAAATGGTCAACCAGCTTTGTCTATTTTCATTGGACAATTGGCTGAGAAACAGGGAAGATAATGGAAGTTAAAGCAAAGTTTATTCTATGAAATATGTTTATATATATTTCAAAAAATATATATGATTTATGAAATGGGTCCATTAACAGGTGAAGCCAGTTCATCTTCATTAATAATTTCCTTGAGTTTTCTTGATTGCTAAGTCATAGAACACTGTTATCAGTTTCATGAAGCAAGAGACAAGATCAGAGGAAAGTGGAGCTCCAATGGCCTAAGAATCTTCACCTCTCTGTCTTTCGCTAACACATTTACGTCAATTTCAAGAAATTGTGCAACAAGAAAGAAAAACCTAAGTTTCTGTACATAAAAATTGGAAGGAAAAAAAAAAAAACAAAAAGACAGAGAACCAAAGAAGTTGAATATTATTTGTAGGAATAATTATTATTTAGTCCTTAAGATTTTACTAAAATTATTAACTCATCCCTACACTTGGTAAAATCAGTAATTCATTCCTAAAACTTCGACCTACTAAATTATTTTGTCTTTCATCCAAGCCTGCTACGTGCTAAAGAAAATAACAAATATATGAGATTAAATAATAATATCATATAATTATATTAAATATGACAGACTAAATTGTCAAATATTATAGAAAATGTCATAGTAAAAAATGACATTTTTTGGATGAAATGATTAAATAGTTTAATGCATTTTTACGTCACAAATAAATCAATAATTTTACCAAATAATAAGGATTAATTAATAATTTTGACCAAAATTATAGAAAACTAAATAAAATAATAATCTCCCATTTACATCAACCTCTAATTGATTTTATAGATAAAATAAATTTAATACTGCTAAATGAATAAATTAGTTTAACAAAACTACATTTGATATACGGTTTCACAATTTAATATTGTCGTATTTATTTCTTTTTCCAATCAATTGATATAAATACTCCAGTTTAAATTAAAAAATTTATTGAATTTATTTAGTACGAAAAAGTTTCCCCTTGATTTTGCGATAAGCATGTGCTGACGAAGACCCGAGTCAAGCCGTGGCCCATTAAGCTGTAGGCCCATGTTCAGGCCTTTGCAGCCCTGGTTTTGTTCTCTTCCTTTCTTTCTTTCTTTCTTTTTCAAGCATTAGTAGAAGAGGATATGTGTTTTTTTTTTTTTTTTTTTTTTTTTAAGCTGTAGGCCATGTTCAGGCCTTTGCAGCCTCTGGTTTTTGTTCTCTTCCTTTCACATTTCTTTCTTTCTTTTTTCAAAGCATTTAGTAGAAGAGCGCATATTGTTTTTTTTTTTTTTTTTTATTTTCCAACTGAGTTGCGTGTATTTTAACTTTTTTTTTTTAATTGTAAGTTCAGCTAATAATTTTGAATTTAGCTTGAATATTAATACAATCTATTAGTATTTTCTATTCTTTTTTTTTTTTTTTTTTTTTTTTCCAACTGAGTTGCGTGTACTTTTCAATTTTTTTTTATTGTAGTTCAGCAATATTTTGAATTAGCTTGAATATTATAAATCTATTAAAGTTATTTTTCTATTTTGGGTCTTAAATTATTCTTTCTTATATATTTTGAGAAGCTAATTTTTATGCGGATTGATTATCTAAGTATGTTTCCTCTACATCTTTAGGTGTTTAGATGTAGTCTTCTCCTCTCAGTTTCTCTATTCGGCTTGGTAATGATAAAGCTAGTGTAACGTATTTTCATTCTTGCTCTAGCTATTTTTGTTTAGCACACCCTTTATTCTATCGAAAGGAAAACTTACTTTCTTTTTTTTTTTTGGTCTTTTGAAGTTTATATCAAAGCAAACTATTCATATCAGAATTAAACAACTTGTGAAAGGAAAACTTTCTTCTTCTTTCTTTTGTTTTTTTAAATTTTTTTTCCACAAACACAAATTAATAATATGAAAATAGATTCATCAAGATTCTCCTAGCTAGTGCTTTTAAATGCAACGTATAGAACTTCTTCACATTAATTTATTATTTCATTAGTTGAGGGATTCACCTTCTTCTGGACTTTATCCATATTCGCAATATAGAATTTATTAACGTTACTAATTACTAATCTTGATTAATCTAAATTATGATTTAAAGGGTCTACTTGATTTGAATTGCTATAATTTAAAAAAAAAAAAAAATTAAGTAATGGGTTGGAAATAATTGTTAGATTCTCTGCTTTGGGACTTTCCAGCTCTTTTTTGCTTGAAAACCTAATTAATTAACAAAGTTTGGAATGACATGTCATTTTTTTGAATTGCTATGAGTTTTGGGTATTGCTTAATTGTGGACAGTTAAGCATGTTTGGGGTTTGGGGAGCTTTGAGATTCATGACCATGTGAGGTGCTTAGAAGAGTTTTATTAAATTGCTAAGACAATATTATTATCACATGAACCTCTAATCCACTATTTTTATGTTAAGATTTTGTGGTTATAAATTTTATGACAAAAAACAATATATAGGACTTCAATTTTATCAAAGCTTATTTTTGACAATGCAACAATTCAAATCTTGCTTGTAAATATTGCTTATGTATCATTGAAAAATGAATATGCCTAACTCATTGAACTATGCTATATAGGTTCAAGTTAACAAATTAACTCCCAACTTGTTAGTTAGTTGGTAAATGATGACCTAAAAATAGGTCCAAAAATTCACATGTCCTATAAACTTTAATGAAATAGATAATCAAATTTATTTTTAATATAATATTTATATTTGATGTTGTTTGAGATATTTTGTATAATTTCAATATCGCAATCTGTAAGATAAAAACGAAAAATTTCATTAAATAAGATAAAATTATGATCGAAAGAAGTCAGAGTTAAGGTCACTAAATTGGTGAAAACGACTATGATCGAAATGACTCAAACTCGAGATTCCTCCCACTCTTTATATAAGTGAGAAAATCAATCAAACCACCCCACTGTCTGATTAGTTGTTAATTGGCCAATTAACTATTTATTTTAGAAACTTTTTCATCTTAACACATGTTAATTGAAAAACTTTTCAAACTGATTTTTAAACTTTAATTAAGTTCAAATGTCAATCTATCAATCCGTCACAACTCTCATACGTTAAATCTGTCCAATCATTAATTCCAAAACTCAAGCAGCAGATAAATTAACATGAGAACTAAAATGGGAAATGGGCTGTCTTATCCTTTATGATTGGAAACACGATTTGAAAGCTACTCCAAAAAAACAAAAATGAACTGTGAAATCCAATTTCTGAAAAGAAAAAATATATATATATATATATATCTAATGGACGCTGAAGTGGCCACGACACAAAATCCAATCGGATAAAGACACAATCCACTCTAAAAACTTACGGGATAAATGGGGAAATAGAGAGTTGAAATATATCCATCGCATCCACATACTTGTAATTTGATATTTTTCATTATAATAGATTCACGTACTGGCAGCTAGGAACCAAAGCAGAACCGCCATTTGCCCCTGCGCAGCTATTCGAGGATGATATAAATAGTTATAAATGAAGTTTGAGATAACATAAATAGAGTATAAATTTTTAGATATTCGTTGTTCGTTATATTAAATGAATTTGATCGTTAGTACCTATAGATACTTTATTAATAAAAAAATATATTTTAAATAAATTTTTATCCGTTCATGGATAATTTGAATAAATTCGAGACGGATGCAGATAATAAAATTTTAAATAAATTCACATGTAAATACCTAATCGGATATGGAAAAGGGCAATACAATAAATACATATGAATATAAAATTGACAAATTTCCGCCCACTTTAATCCCTTTTAGCAATGTCAATAACAATTTAAAGAATTACTCAATTGAGAAGTGAATTGCTTTTCACTTTATTAATGAGAATTCAAATTAATAATAGTAATCTTCAAATTTTATTTTTAATTTAACTCTAATCACGGGTATCTCTGCCCTCTTTAAATTTTAAAACATAAAAATTGAATATAAAAATATGTCTTCACATTATCCTAAAAGAGAAAGCTTTAATTTCAATTTACAAAAACTATCTCAAAAAAAAAAAAAATTTGGATGAAAATTTAATTTCAATTGATGAAAGTTATCTCGAAAAACTTTAATAGCATATGTGTATGGATAATTATTTTTGGAAAGGATACAACAATGCAATGATTTCATTTCCAAGGATACTACATAGATATAAATTGGCCTTAATACTTAAAATAATTAGGGTAGGGTGTCCCCTCTTTTGCTAATTTAAGTTTTTTCACACATTGTAAGAAAAAAAAAGGTGGAGTACTAATGGGCTAATAAAAGTTAAAAGGCTAAAAGGCCATTTTGATTGCCCTTCTTTAAGGAGATACATGCCTTTAAATAGGACCACATGCCCTTTTCACTCACAAACAGACATAGTGATGCAATGCTGAATGACCTTTGAGAATATGAATTGGACAATGAGAAATGTAATTTAAGAGTGATAGCCATGCAAAAGCACCAAATTAGCCTTTTTACAGGGAATAAATACCTAATTTCAGCATAATTTGTCCTGAACTTACTTTAAATATCTTGCAGCTATTGGAAGAAATCAATTCCACCAAATCTGGAATGAGATTTGCAATTAGGGTTTATATTCAAAAAGGCATAATTGAAAACAAAGAAAATTGTCATTTTTCATATATGCCTTTCTTTGGCAGTCAATGCAGGATTCTGTTGTTGTTTCAATGCACAAACTATCTAGATTCCAGAAGAATAAATGGTAAAAGAATTTTTGTTTGCTTTGTAGCATACCATCCATC